AAACTTCCAAACTGATAAGCTACAGTTTCTGTGATATTTTCAGCTGTTCTAACTTACTGACGGCACTTAGAATCGAATCTTATCATATCCATTCGAAGCGAGCATTTCTGTTTGCCTCTCAACTATGAAGTTAATTTACAGTTTTATAACATTCTAATTTCGTAAGGTCTTACTTATAATGCATTTTAGATGTAACACAGGTATCTACACAGGGTTACGTGGTAGCGTAGTTGGCTGAAGCACTATGCTACAAACCCAAGATCACGTGTTCGATCCTCTATGAGTTCAATGGAATTTTCAATTGACCTAATCCTTCCAGCCGCGCTACGGCGCTGGAGTCGACTGAGCCTCTAACAGAAATGAATACCAGGAATCTTCCTGAAGCGTAAAGGGTGAAGGATGGCCTGCGTACAAGCCTGATAACCTTACCGCCATCTGTGAGCCGATTATCTAGAGAAAATGTGGAAGCCTCGACGTTTCACAACCCTATGGGCCTCCAAGGACTGTTACAGGGATGGTTTTATCCTATATTCACACCTCTAAAATCATGGAACCAAATTGGACAAATCTTTCGCAGTGGTCCGTCATTTCCATGATTTCATGCAAGAACATTGAGAAGTAATTTCGTATATGAATATTTGCTCTGTAAAAATTTCACTGTGTTTTATTCAGGGTGGAAGAGGCTACAGGATGTCTGCAATGCCTGGCGTTCAGTCCACGGGGGGAGCCTCGGCTACCGTGAACACAGTATCTCTTGGTCTTCTCAGAAATATCATTCACCATTCTATGCCTTGTAGCCAACAGATTTGAGAGAGCATTGTTAAATAAACAACGACATAATGGCTGTTAAATGAAGTGTGAAAAAGTCCATTAGACCCTACTTTTCGTAGTGGGACGGAATGGATTTTGTTCAAGTGTATTTAACGTAAAATTCTATTTTCGCTTGTTTGTATCTGCACTTCCAGAAAACCTTACTAATTTTCTCGCACCCCGTTTCGCCTTCAAATCCATGAAGCATAAACTCTCTTTAAGAAATTAAAATATTCCGGTTACAACTAAATTCATTATAACAGACTTCTGCAATAAACTGAAAACATGTTTACATTTCATTGATTAGGCCAGTATTTCAAGGTTAAATCTATTCCTTTGAAAACCGAAATAAATTAATAAAACCATAAACCGTACCCATTCTTCTCGACGAAATGTTAGGATGGAGAAATTGGAATATCTTGCTTAACATATGTCTGAACATACCGTCTGTGGATCTGCACTTCATAAAGTTCCTCTGATGAGAACAAATTGGAAAAGACTTACAAATTCTAGCACCCTTAGGCTGATACAGCCAAGATACAGCTAAGCTCTCGATTCAGAATTAATATGGAATTCTGAAGAGTATGTTAGAATCATAACGAGGCTATAAACGAAATCAATAACGCCCAAAATATCAACTGAATTATACGATAGAAATTTTACAACGAGGAGAAATACTTATATTGCCGTTTCTTTATAAAGAAATTTGCAAATACATGTTAAACTCTTTAATTTACATAGGCCTAATTTTAGTATTATTAAACTAATATTATATTAGGCCTAAACCCTTAAGCATATGCGTATGATGAAATTGTTGAACCCAAATTTATAGAATTAATTAAATATTTCGATTTTTTAGCATTAAACTCTATTTCGTCTATAAAAGTGACAAATCTCTATCTGTTCGTTCTGTATTAGGCCTATTTTAATATATACTCATTTGTGGTCATGCACTTAGACGATCGTCCGTTCGGAAATAAATCTAACAATTTATTTACAATAAACTTAAGTATTCTGTTTTTTTTTAATTATCTGAGTATACCTATATATCATACGAAAGGCATAACGCAAATATAGCCTAACGTACACAGAAAGGTGGTGTTGTGAGGCATTTTAACTGTGTCAAAATCAATTTAGTCAACAGGCTGTCATAATGTTCACGGACCTACAAACTTTAAGTTATATTAAATGTTCAATGTTGACTTCCTTAACATTGATGAAGCAAATTTTATTTCCCACTCGAAGAACTAAGATCCCCGAAAGTTTTTTAGTGTTACTATTGTTTCTTGATAGTACTTGAAAAATAGCTCTGGAAATAGTTCCCTTGTTCAACCATAATAAGAAAAATACTCTATAGACTAACACCTACATGACACTTCCTTATTCAGACAACTTATGTTCGAATATTTCCATATTAACAGTAACTTTCTGTTGCACACAAGCCACGAAATTTTAATTTTAACTACACAGAGAGGGCGTCAGTTCACTGGTCTCAATCACTGAATAAATTCATGTCCCAAGGGTTAATGTTAAGCTATGTATATATGTATAAGTGTATAACATGGAAAGGGGTAACAAAATAAAGTATTAGTAGATTCTGGTGTGAACACGCCACAGTTCTGAAACCAAGCTACAGAGAAGAAAAATGTTCTGTGCCGTGCTACAAAAACGGACCCGACTGAACTTCTCGTCAGACCTGCAGGCCTAGGGACTGGCGCTCCCACTTCGAATTCGAGTAGACCGGAATCGCATGTCAATCCGGAGCCCGGTGCCTCAAGACAAGCGCTTGATTAGTAGCCTAAAATAGGCCACGACTACTACCTTTAACATCCATCGGATCTCATCTTTCAGAAACACCTTCACTTCAAGTGCAGACCTATTTTATCTTAACTTATGTAGTTGATAAAACATCGTTAAGTGACCAAGGTAGATCAATAACTCGGACTCCTTCGATCTTTTATTTATTTCCCTGGAGGACATTTCTGTCGATGGAAAATCCGGTCAGAATAATCCCTCAATTATGAAGATTAACCCAGGTCCTCACCTCTTTCAAGACCGGAAGGTCCTAGACCTGTTATTCGTTTTAAAACGTTGCTAGCGATATCCTGGCTGGAAATATCCTTCTGCTCAGAGGCCTACAAAATCCTGACAATATTTGCGTCGGTAGCAACAGCACGTGCTCAACACTCGCGTAATTCATTATGTGAATTCACATGCGGAGCCCACGTAAGAACCTTGTTAAGCTGCCGGTGTAGGCTACAGCAAAGCGACTGAAACAGCTGCAACGCGCCACCACACTCAGGCCACTGGTCTGTACACTTACCGACACTGTGCTTATTACACGCGTACTTATTTGTACGTTATGTTACGTTACGATATCAGTCATAATTCAAATGAACCTCCACGAATAAACGACAAAATTTGTTGCATTATTTGCGTTTTATTAAAAACTTTAAAAAAATATTGAGCTTATAAGCCTCATGGAAACGAAATAACTTAGGACCTAACATGACATTACAGCAGTTAAAAAAATGGTCTCTACACGTATGAACGTCTAGGCCGTAATTGAAAAAAATATATAATATAACACACCTACGACAATAAACTACTCTTAGCTGTATAAATGCCGATCACAGTGGCCGTGCGATCTAAGGCATGAACTGACTTCGTTCACTCGAAAGCTGGGATTGTTGGTTCGAATCGCACTCAAGACATGGATGTCTGTATGTGTTTATTCTGTGTTTGTGTTGTTCTCTGTGTAGGTAGCGGTCTTACGACAGGTTGATCCCCCGTCCGAGGAGTCCTACCGACTGTGTTTGTGATCAAAAATTTAAAAAGAGACCAAGGCCCAACAAAGGTCTGTAGAGCCATAATAATAATAATAACTGTATAAATATTTTTAAATGACCCTTACTTCAAAATAAGGAGATACTCACAACTTAGCAGGGAAAACAATGGACACTTATGCTGTAGTTTATTATTTCGTCGATAGACTCGACGTATCAGCACGCGTTTAACGAAACTGTAAATTTTACCGTCGATAGACAACACGGTTTGGTACTACCGAGGCTGTCACCGCAACGCAACGAGCTGCTGCCTTCATGAGGACACGAAGCTGAAGTCTCCTCTGACAGCCTACCAAAATATTTCACGTCTAAACTTTCTGCGGCTTGGAACATGAAGAGAATTCTCTACCCAAAACCTACTGCACTGTGTAAAGAGCTATGGGCCCCGAGTCTGAAATAGATTTCGGGAAAAAAACGAATAAATGTTGCGTAAACATAGTCAATTCATGATCTGCCGCATGGCCTTCCGGGCTGATTCTTACCGCTTCGGGCAAGGTTGCGATCTCTGATAGTTTTTGCAGACAAGTAGCCTCCTGCGAGCGCTACTTATCACTAGTAGCTATTAATTTCTTCTGTGTTTCTGCATGCACAACTTTCACTGAATGAAGATACAAAATGTGATGTCAGGGTAAGGCAGATCATACTACTACATGACCTTAGGCCTAAGCGCATACGCAAATGCAGTTTACTGTTACACGGTAATCAAACGGCGTAGGCAAAGTCACATAATTTGGCAGTACGTCGGAATAAAATTCTTAAATTTATAATGGATCCAAAATGTGGACTTGATAATCTCCATAACAATTATTTTCTAGAATTACTGTCGTTTTTACTTTTTCAATCGCCCGGTATTCTAGAGAATAGAAAATACGACGTTTCGGAAACTGAATTTTTTTTCGTCCTCAGGTAAGGTCCTGAGGATGGAAACATAATAAGTTTCCGAAAGGTCGTGTTTCTATCTTCTACAATACCGGATGATGGAAAAAGTCCAAAAACGCGAGTAATTTTGTGTTATTATACACTAACTTCAGAGCCATTTAAAATCTAATTATTTTCCGGTCAAGATAAAGTCTTAGCTGGTGGGATCGAGTGAAAAGTGTTTTTAGTTTTGTGCGGAATAAAATATCGTGTTGGCAGACGTGTCTCAATCTTTGTAGAGTCTGTCAGTGTTGTTGTTCCTTTACAATAATTAAGCCTACCGCTTGAAAACAGCGCCCTCTGATCTGTGGGCTAAATTCCGTCAAAGGCCTCGCGACAGCTGACACACAGTTCGGACGCCCGATACACTATTCCGTATCTACTGCCGATCTTGTCAGATCGTAAAGAACAAAATGTCGGTCTTACCTCCCTGACTTCGTAATGACCATCTCAGTGCCCAGCTTGTGGAACTTCTCCCACAGGTCCTTTCCTTCCAGAGTGACCTTGGGATCGTCCACCACGCCGTCGTCTTCAGGCTGAATGGCCCTCAGAGGCCGCATGGCGGGATGGTGATGGTGGGCCGCAGCTGCGGCCGCCGCTGCCAGCACCACGTCCTCTGCCGTCGTGTACGGATGTCCGGGTGGCAAACCAGGGTGATGATGGGGTGGTGGGGGCGGTGGATGATGTGGAGGATGATGTGGCAACTTTGGAATCAGTGTGCCAGGGTAACAACCCCCAGGGCCTGCGGCAGCGGCGCCGAACGACGCAGCGGCCGCAGCTGCAAGAGCTGCCGCGGGGAAGTACTGGTGATGCGCCGCGGCGACAGCTGCTGTCGGGTCCCCAGAAGGGGTTGTGGTGCCTCCTGTGGGGCTGGTGCTGCCGCCCCCGGATGTTGTCGAATTGCCACCCCCTCCTCCACCACCCCCTCCAGCAGCTGTGAGCAAAGAACTCACACTGAAGTCTGTTGGTCTTTGAAGCAAGAACGGATGGTAGGCCATCGTAGAAGACGCCTCGGCAATTGACGTCCGTGACGTAGAGGTGGCAGATGGCGGCGTGATGACGTCTGACTGCTCGAATCTCATGGAGGAAGCTGATGGATCTCTCAGTGTGAGTCCACACCGCAACACAGTTTTAACGGCAAGTAGTGTGAGCCTACAGTCTTCCAACGGCCATCATTCTCATCAGATAATCTTCCTCTTCCTCGGACCTTACTCCGTGAAGATGGAATCATTGTTCGTGCTTGTAGCGTCTACTGGCATCACAGGACCTACAGAATCACAACAGAAACAAGTCTCAATACTCCTGCGTCCATAGTTCTCCGGCTGGCGTCTTCTCACTACACAAACACTGAGCCCCACTGCTCGAGACAACTAATTGCACACCTTTTGTTTCTCGCGAACACAACAAACGCGCTGCGTTAACACGTAGAGTTGCGTCAGTGTTGAGAAGCTGCCCACAGTGCAAGAACTGACGGCGGGTGGTGACAGTGGTGATGGTGGTGGCGTTAAGGGGACGTCGACAACAGCAAAGCGTCACTTTTGCCACCTTCCTCTCCCTTCCACGGGTGTGAGGGAACTATACGGAGCCTCAAGCCGATGGCTTTAACACCCAGAGCCCATCCCCTCCTCCCCGCTCCTTCGTGTTAATGAGCCAGGCTCACGCGGATTGGGTCGAGTCTGTCACTTGTTGGACCAATAGCAAGGCGTGTGCAGGTTCACACCGACTCTAGTGGTGATGCTAGTGGTAGACGTGGTGGGTATGGTGTGACGCGTCTGGAAGGAGGGGGACTGTCGAAGAGGAGTGGAGGGGTAAGTTTTAAAGGCTGGGTTCTGTTGAGGCGTGAGATGGAGGATGTGCCTGCGGTTTTTCAGAGGGGGAGGTGAAGATGCGGGGAGGGAGACTGTCAAAGTGATGAGATGTTGCGGAGGGGGCACAGTGATTTCAGGCTGTACAGTTTTTTTTTAATTAAGAGGAATTCTTAATTATTTCTTAAATATTAATTATTCAAGAACATATTTTTGTATCTGTAGCTGGTGATATTTTGTTTACCTTATACTTTTCCTTGGATGATTGTGGGTGACACTTAAAAAACATGGACTATTATTGTAATAATGAAAAAAAAAAATAGAAACACATACAAACATGTTACGCCTTGTCCAAAAGTACACTAAACATGCTATTCAAAATCCTTCTTTCTCTGCTCCAGCCTTTTTATAATCCAGAAATAAGTTGATCACCCCACTGGTGCACAAACCACGGCACACACACTTTTAACGCGATCGCTGAGTAGGTCTATTGTCTACAGCACAGCGCGCGCAGCACAAACGAACTCTCTCTTCGCACGGAGCAAAGATATGTATTAATCAGCCTTCTACCAGGAACACGTTTCACTAATTTCAACGCCTCTAGCGATTATTCTTTGTACTAAATAGGATTAAATTTTTGTAACGTCATTCTTGTGCGTTACTTCTCGAAACAATGGTCCGGTGATATTGTCGCAGTCAGCCTAAAGCTATCTCACGCGACGCCTTTCTTTACACCCTGCCTCTCTCTCCCAGGAGACAAGATTTGCACCCATGAAGCCCGTCAAGTAGGTGGCACGGAGTGGCGAAGAGTGGGGAGTGGCCCCTCCCTCTGACTGACAAGAAGTGTCAGAATCACCGGCCCCAAAAACCACAAAATAAACTAACCCTTTTCCCCACCCAAAAACATAGCCCAAAAAATATTCCTTCTTACCTTGGTGGATTTCCCCTCCTCCAAAAACCACACGACCACACTGCCGATGGTGAAGAGGGGTGCTGGATTATAAGTAAAACCTATCGTGGTGGCGTCCTCAGGCGCCGGCTTGGGGTGATAGAATCGTCGGGTAAAAATAGGGGGGAGAAGGGAGGGAAGTGTTCGTAGGCGGTGACCAGTCTGAGGGTTTTTCTAGGAGTGGGGAGAGGTGAAAAATAAGAGGGGTGGAGCGCAAATGTAGTGTGAACTGAAAGACGAGCAATGAACCCTCCACGGCGTCCCACGCGCCTCGCCACATATCGATTCTTGTGACAACGAAGGTAGGGCAATAGGGCGCAGGAGTCTGGATACTACTATCTATTTATTATATATGAACAAAAGAATCACTGGAGCCTGACTTACATGGAACGTACAGGCATCAACTTGGAATAAAACATAAATCTTTACCAAGTAAATTGTTTCCGTGGAAATTTGTTATAGTCCGTTTGCCTGAATAAAGACAAATTCACTCCATCGGTTACGTAATATATGGCTTGACTCAAAAGAAAATTAATTTATTTCCAAGAAATTACTCCAGCATCGTGTATCATTTTTCCTTTCCTTGTCATGCGAATAATTTCTAATCATTATAACTCGAAGTGGGAAATGACCTTACTTCACGCCTTTCATTTAATGTTTGCGCTGGCGCCGAACACATCCGGGCAGGAACCCTCTCCCCTGCAAGAAAAGTGGGCGGTGCTTCCGTAATTGAAACGGTCGGCCCCGAAGAGCGCATAGACTGCCCTTGCGGTACTCCCGCCCATCTGGGACGCCGGTAGCGACACTGGCGGCAACTCTCTGAACCACCAGTGCTGCAATGGTGCTCACAGCAAGCGCGAGGAACAAGCAAGAGGCCGTGGAATCGTCTCCAACAGACCGAAGACAAAGTTGGGCCGGCACACACACAGGTAGGCCAGGTGGGAGCCATATTAATTCTATGACGTCATACCACGCCACCTTAACACTTTGGACAGAGATGCTGTGCTCACTTCATAATCTGTACCCTCGAGGATAGAAACAGACAAGTATCGAATACCACATAGCTCTCGTGATGTCATTGAACGTGTGGATCCGTACATATTTGTTGTTTGTTACGACTCGCAGACAGGCAGTCACATCGTCTCGTGAGACTGGAAATCTGTTTGCATAAGACAAGCCTTGTTGCCTCTACATTACGTAGGAGCAGAAGATGTCACAGTCATATTTGTGAAGAGTATTATCTTCAGGGAAATGACGCCGTGCAGTCCGTTGAAAGTCAACCGGCATTTCGGAAGAACATATCGCCTCCATCTTCAGGGTCGAAAAAGCCGAGTAAGATAACTGCGTGAAAGTAAGTGGCAAAATTCTGATATCTTGCTCGGATTATTTGACCTTGAAGATAGAGGCGATATGTTTTTCCGAAACGTCGGTTAACTTTCAACAGACTACACGGCCTTACTTCCCAGAAGATAGTACTCTTCATATCAACATTATTATACAAGTTTAATTAATGTGCCTCTTTAGAGGAGTAACATCTTTACTGGTTTAGGATCTAAATTGTGAGTATTCATTAGGGGGGGGATTGACACAAGCGTCCACTTCTTACTGAAAGTTTGTAGTGTCAAAGACCAAGGAAAAGAAAACTGAAGCCTACATTTTTGGAGACTGACTGACGAAAGTACTAAATTCAGGATCGAATTTGTGTTTGTAAGATTTGATTGTAGAGACCTACGTTAGGGCTACATCACGTGGGCAAAGCTTGCTTCCGCCTCTTCGCATTTGTCTGAGAAATCAAGTAGGTTCTGAAGAGTTCTGACGATGGTGTATAATACATATTCACAATTACTGGACGAAGTCCAAACCCCCCAGTAATTCTGAGAAATCAACATAGTACTTTTGTAATAATTTCAGATTCATATATTACGATAACATTTTAATAGCCTAAGACGAACCTCAAGCCGGTCACAGTGGCCTCGCGGTCTAAGTCATGAACCGTCTTAGCCTGCTCGAATGCTGGGATCCTGGGTTCGAATCCCACTCCAGGTATGGATGTCTGTGTGCTTTTATTCTGTATTTGTGTTGCTCTGTGTGCAGGTAGCGGCCTTGCGACGGGCTCATCCCCCGTCCGAGGAATCCTACCGTCTGTGTATAAATTAAGAAAATGGAAAAAGCAGGCGAAGTCCACAAGCGCTGTAGAGCCATACATAGGTAGAGAGAAGATGAATCTCTCATCTTCACAGAAACCATACGATGAATTAATGGAAGGACGTGAAAGGCACAGGCGAGACAGTTATGACTAATGCTCAGAAGCCAAATTAGCTAAAGCAAGCAAAGGGCACACAGGCTAATTTTAAATCCTTTTAAAATTACTTAAATTGCTTTAGCCTTAGGCCTATAATAAGATTCTTATCTTTTTTATATTAAATGATCCTGTTACAATGACTGACATTTTAGGCTTGGTACTAGGAACTATAGAATATTAATTCAATTGTTATTTTTGATAGAAGAAATTAACATGCCAACAAATTTAGTTATGCTACGATTTAATTGTTTTCTAACGAAAATCCGATGTTAGATAGTAGGCCTATCACTGGTAACGTTTTGGAGTCCGTTGTTGTAGGGCCTACGTGACGTTTACACAATTGTGTTCCCTATTCCGTAAAGACATAAGGGTCAGTATCCTTAGCACCAGTCCAGGCTTTCTGGTTTTATTCAGTTGTACTTGTAACTAACTAAATAGAGCTGAGCCCTTTTTGAGAAGCCGCCAGTTGCCAGCCATTCAAGAGTTTCCCCAACATTTTATGGAACCCGAAAGTTCATTACCGTGTTCACAAGAGCCCTCCACTGGTCCGTATCCTGAGCCAGAACGATCCAATCCATACCACCCCAACCTATCTCTCTAAGATCCTTACTACTGTCCACACCTACGTCTTGGTCTTCCTAATGGTATCTTTCCTTGTGGCTTTCCCACCAATATCCTATATGCATTCCTCTACTCCCCCATTCATGCTACATGCCCTGCCCATCTAATCCTCCTTGACTTGATCAATATAAATATACTTGGAGAAGAGTACAAGTTATGAAGCTCTTCATTATGCAGTTTTCTCCAACCTCCTGCCACTTCATCTCTCTTCGGTCCAAATATTCTCCTCAACACCCTGTTCTCAAACACCCCCGGTCTATGTTCCTCTGTTAATTGCAGAGACCGAGCTTCAAACCCATACAGATCCACGGGCAAAATTATAATTTTATATATTCTGAAGTCTGCGTTTTTAAACGGCAGGCAAGAAGAAAAAAAGATTCTGGACTGAATGATAGAATACAATACCCGAGTACAACATCCTCTTAATTTCCTTGTGGATGAAATTTCGATTTATTATTGTCGTTCCGAAATATTTGAACTGGGTCACATTTTCAAATGATCGGTTATCAATTGCATTTATTTCCCATAAATTTAGCAAAACAGTTGATATTCAAGTCTTACTTAAGTTTTGTACAACTGACACTAAGCAACAGAGCAACCTAATTAAACCTTGTAGCGTTGCATCGAAACATTCGTCTATGTACTCGTAGCCTCCCCCCCATATTTTGGCGCTTTCGCAACCGCGGCCATTACTGCGCCACTTTCATAAGCTGCGATGTGAATTTTGGGAACTCTACCAACCGCCAAAACAGAGTAGGCGGAATAGGCTTTAGGCCTATTTTAATGTCAACTTGTATAGGCAGGCCTCTAGGTAACATAAAAATATCGAATTTCAAATTGCACTTGTTCACTTATGAATGTTTTCATGATATCTTAATCGTTTCATCCTGCCACTGCTCACGTGTTTGGACAGGACAGAATTCTTACCACTCGTCATGCTTGTGTTCCTTCCTGTTAGGAGTAAGTAAAGCGGCCTCCGTAGTCTAGGGGTATCGTTCCCACCTCATGACTCAAGGTACGCGGGTTCAAACCTGGCGGAGGTCGTGGAATTTTTAAGGGCTGGAAAATTCAGGGAACAAGTCCTCCGGGAGGGACTTTAAGCCGTGGGTCTCGTGTTGTAGATTTACGGCACGTAAAAGATCCTCATGTCTCTAGGAGACTTCTGAGCAAAATTAGGTAACAAGTTTCCCGCCCAAGTAGTTTCCAATACCTCTGGTAGAGGGGGGAAATATCACGTACCGACGGCCGACCTCGTTGGCTGAACGGGGCTGATAGCACGCACCAGTACCGGTAGGGTATGGCGACAGTAGAAATTAAAGGGGGACGCACAATGGACCAATAACTGGTCTAAGTTCATGGGGAAACCAACCCCCTCTAATAATAATAGTAATAATAATAGGCTTAAATACCGTTGTTACACCCACATAGGTAACACGACTATTAAGATCTCTTTACATACACATTTTGGAACAAACTTTATCGTGATCATAGGCCTATATATTCACAGAAATGATAATCTATTTACAAATTTTGAACATGATATTTTCTCTCTTTGAAGATCTCACGGCATTAAAAGTGAAGATTGCCGTATTACTTGGTTGATGTTTACCAACCTTTCGGATGAACCTACTTCTTTCTTATTCAGCGTTCTCTGAAGACAGAAGTCTTACATTAGGCCTAAAATATTATTAATTTGAGAATAATATCTTTGTTTCTTATGAATTTTTTATCCAGAACTGTGAGTGTCTTCTCCTATTATGGTTTATGCCTATTTATATAAAGAGAAAATTGAAGCCTACCTACAACTGTAAATTTGACAGTTTTACAAGCCAGTTAATTAAGTAAAAAGCCGCGCCATAGCTCAAGCGGTTAGTCGCTGGCTTCCCACCGCGGCGGCCCAGGTTCTATACCGGGTCTGGTCAAGTGGGATTTGTGGTGGATAAAGTGGCGCTGGGGCAGGTTTTCTCCGAGCACTTCGGTTTCCCATACCAATCTTCATTCCACCAATTGCTCCACAATCACCCTCACCTATCATCTGTGGCTGGTACAATAGGCCAGAAGTGGCCGCAGTACAAGGGACTTAGTCCCACCACACTAGCATTTAAATAATAATTAAGTGAAAATTACAAATATATATATATAGAAAAATAGAAGGAAATAAACTACATCATATTCGACATGCACGCACGTAAAGGGGAGGGTAGCTGCTTTGCGTAGGACGCACACTGCATGGCCTGAGGACGAGTGGTCAGTGAGGCACCATGTTCACTTTGCCTCTAAGAGGCGTTGCCTATACAGCATTACTGTCGATAAAGCTTATACAGCCTACTTATACATACATGAGTACGACGAATTCTTTTCTGTTTAGGACGCATAGGAAGCCATTTTTCTTTCATTAGTCCTCTTTTAAAATTAATTAAACGCTGCAGATCCTAACAACAGTCTGTAAGGAGAGTTAATGATGTGAGTTTATTAACTTTCATAATATATCTTTATTGCTATTCTACCGTTAGTGAAATAGGCTGCCCCATAACTACATCAATTTAGAAACATAAATAAGCAATTCTTTTCAGGTTCTGCAGAATACAATTCAGTAAGGCTTCTTATAGCCTTATCGGCTATGTCTGTAATAAAACTACTTCACGTAAGGTTGTGTCAGAAAATTGTTACGTGTTGAACCCTCAATGATAAACGAAAAACAAATTCCGTGGCCTGTAGTCCGCAAGCGAACTATACCAACCGAGCTACCGCCGCTTGTAGGCGAAGTCAGTGCCAACTTTTGCGGATAGAGAGGTTGTCACGTGATCAGCGCAATGATCCCCACGGACGTTGATCTGGTTTTCTAGACGGGAGGAATCCTCCATGGAAAAGAATAACTATTTTATCTGATAAAGTGTATATTATTATTTATACCACAATTGATTATTCTTATATTGTACATTCTAGATATATTTGTAGTTGTTCCGTAATCAGTACAAGCCAGAAGGTGTTGATAAGATAGCAGAC